ATCCAACATCTGCAGCATCCAACATCTGCAGCATCCAACATCTGCAGGGTTCTTGTAGGAGCGTTCATGTAAATAATGTCACCGTAATCAATGGAGGGAAGGAAAGTCACAGATACAAGGCGTTCCTCAGGGTTCATAGTTAGACAGGATCTGTTTCTGGAAAAGAAACCCAGTTTAACTTTCAGTTTCTTTAACAAGTTTTCCACATGGAGCTTAAAAGAGAGATGTGAGTCGACCAAGATACCCAAATATTTAGAGGAATCTACAAACTCAATGGGGACACCATTTGAGGATAAAATCGGAGGAAGAACTGCTGGGACCAACTTCCATCCATCCATTATCTTTACCCGTTTTTTCCATTATGGGTCATGGGGGTCGCTGGTGCCCATGTCCAGCAATCACTGTGCGAGGGGCGGGGGACACCCTGGACGGGTCGCAAGTCCATCACAGGGACACATAGAGACAAACGAGACAAACAACCATTCACTCTCTCACTCACACCTAGGGACAATTTAGAGTTACCATCAGTCTAACATGCATGTTTTTGGTCTGTGGGAGGAAACTGGAGCACCCGGAGAAAACCCACGCATGCACGGAGAGAACATGCAAACTCCACCCAGAAGGCCCCTGGACCGGGGTTTGAACCAGGGACCTGTTCGCTGAGAGGCAGCAGCTCTACCAGTTGCGCCACCGTGCTGCCCGAGACCAACTTCATATTTGAAAAAGGCATCCCTTTGGTTTTATCTGAGTTTAGGACAAGTTTGAGGTGGAACAAATCTGACTGGATGATGTTGAATGCAGATTTCAAAAGCTGGAAAACCTTAGCAACTGTTTTAGCTCGACAATAAACAACTGTGTCATCAGCATAGAAATGTATGGATGCATCGGGGATGCTCTGACCTACATTACCTGTAGATTGTAAAGAGGGTGTGTCCTAAGACTGAGCCTTGTGGTATACCATTGTTGACTGTTAGATAACTGGAGGAAGTACCATTATGTTGAACACATTGTCTCCAATGGTGTGATCTGAGAAACCAGTTTCTGAGAGTTTATGACACAAGATGTTCTGATCCACAGAGTCAGAATCTTTAGACAGGTCTAAGAAAAGTGCAGCACAATAATCCTTAGCATCCAGTGCTTCAACAACGTCATTAAGAACCTTCAGTGAAGCAGTGGTTGTGCTGTGTTGTTTCCTGAAACCAGATTGATGTGGAGGTAAGATGTTAAATGAGTCCAGGTCATTTTTTATTTGAGAGTTTATCAGTTTTTCTAGAACCTTGGCTAAAATGCAGAGTTTAGAGATTGGTCCATAGTTGTTCAGTGAGGGGGGGTCACCTCCCTTCAGCAAAGGAAGAACAAAGGCTGTTTTCAAGTGTCTGGATGGAGTTTTGTCTCATGGAGAGATTGAAGATGTGGGTCACAGGGACTGTGATGATATGAGCAGCCAGCCTTAAGAAATAAGGTGGAAGTTCATCTGGACCTGCAGATTTTTTAGGGTCAAGATCTTTTAACAGTTTATTGACCTCACTGACTGAGAATGGAGAAAAAGAGAAGCTGTGATTAACTGAGGATTGACTTGTAGGAGGGATTTGATTTGTAGAAGTTTGGTTATTAAGTGAAGTGGCTGATCTTCCATTAGTAACGGTGTCAAATAAAGAACTAGAAGCAACAAAATGTTTGTTGAAACAGTTCAGGATCTCGTGCTGATTTGACACAGGAACAGAGTTAATGAGAAGTTGTGATGGGAGGTCAGATGATTGGGGGCTGCCTGAGAGAGATTTGATGGTTTTCCAGAATCTGTTGGGGTCATTTAGATTTTTGGAGGTCTGAGATAAAAAGTTACATTTTGCAGCTTTGATGGAAGTTGTATATTTTATTCCTCATCTGTTGAAAACTCAACCAATCAGAGTCTGAGTCAGATTTTTCTCTAAAGACCAGAGATGATCTCTCCTGTGCAGGAGGTCAGCTAGCTCTGGAGTAAACCAGGGGCTGTCTCGTCCCTTTATTCTGAACTGATGAAAAGGAGCATGTTTGTTCAGGAAATAAATGAAATTATTATGGAAATAGTTCCAAGCAGAGTTCACGTCATCAGGAATTATAATACGATGCCAGTCAAAGTGAGACAGATCCCAGAGGAATGACTGTTCATATTTATATGCCACGTCGTCGGGATTAGATTAACTAAATGAACGCAGTTTATTGGCCGCAGCAATCATTAGATTACATCCATCTATCCCATGATGACGAGCACGCTGACGGATCCACGGGGACGCCACGAGTTCGACCAGAACTGAAACCCAGTCAGCATGAACCTGGCTGCAGGTGAACTCTGACATAATCGTGAAGACCTGCTCCTCCTCCGAGTCAAAGAGACGCTCATCAGGTCCTACTGACTCCTTTAGCTGTTGTTTCATGAAGTGTCGGCGGTTTGACGAACAATTTCAGCTGCTAAAAAATAGACTCCACGTTTCTGTAAAAAAGTCCATTGGTCCATAAGAAACATTAGTAATAAGTAGCCCTATGATATTTTTAGCTTTTAGCTGCATGTTTGCCATTAGACTTTTGCTACTTTAAGCTTCTAACCTATCATTTACTACTTTTAGCTGAGGTTGGCTGCTTTTATGTAGTGTTTTGTTACTTTTAGCTTTAGAGAGGTATAAAAAGATCTCTCACACCATGTCCTTACAGGACACGGTTGAAGGCATCAAAAATCTAACAGCAAGTAACGTACATGGACACAGTACATAAGCATGGACGACAAGACGCTGAGATTTGTCCAGGAACACTTCCAGACAGTTTCCATAGTCCTGATAAGATGCTGCAGTTTCTGTCAGCCGGTACAGCTCTGATAAGTGTTCACAGAAGTTCTCGGGGGTGGGGGTGCAGGGGTGGACAGAGCAGAGCGTCTTGATTTATATATCCACCAGGAGCAATTTGAGAAAAGTTGGCCTACCCAAGGCCAAGATTCAGATAAACAACGGTCTGGGGCTGCCAGACTGGTTTCAGTTCTGCTGGTACTCTCCATGGTGAATCCAAACAGCCAGATGTGTGGACATTCTGCCGGTCCGTGCTCGTTAGCCTTCTCCAAGGTCGAATCCTTCATGCCGGCAAATCCCAGGAGCTGCAAGTGGCCTATGATTCTCAGAAATCCAGCCAGCTTGTGGTTGAGCTCGCTAAGCACGAGTCTAAGAGCTCAAAGCACAAATGAATCCTTCACGTAAGGCTGGCAGCTTTACCATGGCCGAAACTGCTGCTGACGTCCCCCTAATTTGTCCATATCTTTGGTATCTGCGTATTCCAAAAAGCAGAAACCCTGTTTTCATAAATCTAATAATGTACACATCTTCTACGTCCTCCACGGACATCACAGACAGGCACATGATCTTCCACTGCCCCCAGTAATCCATGACATGTGTTCAGGGCATGAGGGCTCTCCAGCACCCTGTCGTCTGGTGGAAGTTTTTTTATCAACTGCGTTGAGAGACCAGCGGACCAGATCCATGATAATAATAAATCACGATTCAAAGATGTGTAAAGAGACGCTCTGACACACAGGACAAAGAGAAAAAGCAGGAGGAAGGCAGGAGAGGGAAGCTTCGTCGAGGGCAAGTGGAGGAAAAAAAGCTAAATGTTTTGCTACTTTCAGGCTGCATTCACAGCAGCCCTGTTTAGTCTCTTTAATCCAACTCCAGCTCGTTTTCCTAGAAAGTCCGGTTCCTTTAGGGAGGTGTGAACGCACCATCGAACTCTGTCACGGAACAAAAAGGTGAACTCTGGCCCGGGCTAAAACCTAGGTCTGGGTCCGGTAGAAGAGAACTCCAGTGGTTCCAGTACAGTGTGAATGTAAACAGACCGGACCCGCTCCTCAGGACAAACAAACACACATTTCTCTCATATGGAGCCGTCAGCTGACTTGTGTGAAGAACAATATTCTCCATGGTCTTCTGTCTCATCTTCTGCTCATGCTGAGTCCATTGATGAAAAATGACTAAATATAACTCCTAAAACTGATAAAACTTGATGCCACTTTGTTTTTATTTTTATTTACAGAAGAAGAAGAAGACGTGTCTTCAGAGGTTTTTGTGTCGTTTCTTTCAGTAGTTCTTGGTGCAGCGCCCCCACAGGCGAGCGGGGGAACAGGTTGGTTCAACAGGTTGACTCGACTGCACAGTGCAGTGTGAATGCAAACGCACCAGCTCAAATGTAACAAAAGGTCATGAATATTGGTCCAGAACCGAGTCTACCGGACTATCAGCTGTGAAAACGACCTTAGCCAATACTGGCTGCTTTCAAGAGGTGTTTTGCTACTTTTAACTTGTGCTGTTTTCTGTTTGCTCTCCTTTTTGCTCCATGTCTGTAAACCAAACAAACTTTTAGCTATTGTTGTGCTTGCTAATGTCAATTAGCTGTGGCGGCCATCTTGATTGCCAAAATGATCTGTTGGCTGAATGAAGGTCCACAACTGATTTAAAACGGCTGCTGCAGCTAATTAAGCAGCACGATGGTGCAGTGGTTAGCACTGTTACCTCTCAGCAAGAAGGTCCTGGGTACAATCCCCAGTTGGACCGGGGGTCTTTCTGTGTGGAGTTTGCATGTTCTCCCCGTGCTGCGTGGGTTTCCTCCGGGTACTCTGGTTTCCTCCCACAGACCAAAACCTGCATGTTAGTCTGTGTTCAGGTCCAGACCTCCCTTACAGAAGAGATCTGTGACCTCAGTGGGATTTGTCTGGTTAAATCAAGGTTAAATAGAGGTTAATAAATAAATAAAGTAAATGGACAAACAGCTAAAGGTAGGTGTGGAAGAAGCTGAGACTGATCCCCAACGTGCACTCTGAGCACAGATACAGGTCGTTGTTTTCAGGGTCTGGTTCTTCACGCCACTCGACGGACACGACAGGAAGGAGGCGGCGACATCGTCTGCGTTGACCTTTTCCTTCAAACTCTTCAAATCACAACCAAAGCGGACTCTGGAAGTTTCCAAACGAGCCGATGGTTCTGGTTCTGCAACAGGAAGAGACCGAAACCCACAGCCGAGGAAGAAAACAAAGGAGCTTCCTGTCCCAACAGGAAGCAGACCTGACACACACGTGTTTTCAGGTACTTCCGGTCTTAATCCCTGCCTGAACGCGTCATAATCTCGCTGGAGATTTATAAATGCCTCCCCCCACCTGTAACTGGTTGTTCACAAACATAAACAAGTAAACAACAACAGCCACAGGTGTCATGTTTTGTTCCAGGTGACGTGTTAATCCAGCTGTTTCCAAATGTAAACAACTTGTTTGTGTTTGACGTCACTTCAGAAGGTAAACAAACGAGATGAGAGCAGCTGATGAAAACAAAGCAGCAGCTCAGAACAGGAAGTCCAGACAAAAGATTCTTCCTGCTGACGTCACACAAACAACAACAACAACAACAACCGGCTCGTGTCCTCCTCCTTTACGTCAAATACAATCCAGATTTATTTATTTGTTGTTGTTATTGTTTTCTGCACGGAGACACGTTCCTCTGCTGGTTGTTGTGGTTCGAACAGAACCTGATGCGAGAACCCAGGACCAGAACCAGGTTCGGATCAAAGCTACTCACCACCAGGGTCAGATCGGCAGAAAACCGGACGGACCTTTGCTTGTTTGTTTGTTTGTTTGTTTATTTGAGGTTTTCAGAGTGAAGCGCGTGACCGCCGTCCTCCCAGGTTCGGATCCGCGCGCGGTTCTGACCCGGTCCGGCAGGAGCTTATTGTTGGGTCCACCTGGAGCCGACCGGGCTCGTTCTTCCAGCACGAGCTTTTGTTTTCTTTGTGCGGACTGGCCTCGTTGGAGAGGATGACGTCAGCACGTGGGCGGGTCAGGACGCGTTGATTGACAGCAAGATCAACCAATGAGAGGCCGCGGTGCTTTCAGGGACCACCGAGACAAAAGAGAACTTTATTTTCTTCTGAAAGTTGTTTTCAGTTCAATTCAGTTTATTTCTATAGCACCAAGTCACACCAGAAGTCATCTCAGGGCACGGAACAAAACATTATTTATTATTTATTAATTTTTTTACCTTTATTTAACCAATCCCATTGAGATCGCAGATCTCCTTTGTAAAGGAGGCCTGGACCTGAAGGCAGCCTAACATGCACGTTTCTGTTCCGTGCGAGGAAACCCGAGTACCCGGAGAAAACCCACACAAGCACGAGAAGAACAAGCAAACTCCACCCAGAAAGACCCCAGGTCCAGCTGGGGATTGAACCGTGGACCTTCTTGCTGTGTGAACCACTGAGGCTTCATATATAAAAATAATAATTTAACATTATTTCTCTGAGGAGCGGACTGCACACAGAACTCTCATCTTGAGCAAGCAAAAAGGTGACAGTGGAAAGGTAAAACCAGACACTTCACCACTTGCTCTCGCCCAGGTCGGACGCCCCCCCACCCCCACCCCCACCCCCCTCCAGGCTTCGCTTTGCTGCTCTGTCCGTCTGTGAAACTGCACTGAGCCTCTTTTCTACAAATCTGGACCAGAATTATGGACCTGATTTGGTCAGTTGGTCCCTCAACACAACTGATAACATTTCTTCGAAGAGAAGACAGACTTTAGGCGAGCCGAGTTGTCCAGCTGGATATCTCATCGACTGGAAGACTTGATGATGTGTCTCTCTCTGCTGCCATCTGTGGATGTTAAGGACGCATATTTAATTAGATTTTCGATAACTGGTTCCTGCTTTTTGGATTCAGCTGGTGCTGGTTTTATCTACAATCAAGGAAGTCGTCGGCAGCAAATCTGGACCCGATCACGCTGCTTGCCTTTATGAAGGCTTGGTTTGTGTCTCGAGTACCCAGACTCAAATGCTTTGGGCTGAATGGATCAGATCTCGGGGATTTTACTCATTCACGTTCCACCAGTGTGGCCATGTAATCTGGACATTTCAGAACCGAGTGGACCAACACAGACTCAAGGTAGATGTCATTAAGTTCTGCCTGTCCCCATTTGGCTCCCTTAGCTGGCCTTGCAGACCACCTTATCTGAATTAACCTGGAGAACATGTGATCTGACGCTCTGCCCCCCCCCCCCCCCCCCCCCACCCCATAGAGGAATTCCAACTGATGACCAGATGAACCACCTGAATAAACTTGTGTCATCATTTCAGGACTCTTGGATTCTCATAGGTGTTGTCCTTGGCCATTCCTCGACATCCCTGGAGAATGTTTATGGATCTCACTGGAGGGAACTGGCTGATTATTCCATCCTTATCAGAACTCTTACAGTGCCCTCGAGAGCGTCCTTGGACATGCTCACTGCTCTCGTTATCTCCCCCTCTGTAGAATGTCTACGTCACCATGTGCAGTTTGTGCGAGGTGTTTTTTAATATTAGAGGTTTTTTTTTTCTCAGCTCCTCCATGTGTCCAGTTTCACCACTTTTTGTCTGTCTAAACACTCTCGCTTGTAAATGAGTCTTGGAGGCTCAATGTGACTTATCTGTCTAAATAAAGGTTGAATGAATGAAAGAAAAAAGAAAGATCATCAGAGACTCTACTTCCTCAGACGGCTGAGGCGAGCTGGTCTGGAAGCTCAGTCCTCACCTCCTTCTACAGGTGTGCAGTGGAGAGCATCCTGTGCTCCAGCATCAACGTGTGGCATGGAGGCTGCACAGCTGCAGAAAGAAAAGCTCTGCAGAGAGTGGTGAAGGCTGCACAGAAGATGATGGAATCAGTCTCCCCACCATCACAGACATCTACACCTCCAGATGCAGGAAGAGGGCCACCTGCATCATGAAGGACCCCACTCACCCAGCACACACACTTTTTGTCCCGCTCCCCTCAGGAAGGAGGTTAAGGAGCATTAAGTGTAGAACCACTAGACTGAGGAACAGCTTCTACCCTGAGGCTGTTAGACTCATGAATCTCTAACCAGGAGAATCACTGTGAAAAACCATATCATGTTGCTGCTGATCTGTTTCAATGTTGCTGCTGATCTGTTTCATGTTGCTGATCTGTCTCATGTCGCTGATCTGCTTCATGTTGCTGCTGATCTGTTTCATGTTGCTGCTGATCTGTTTCATGTTGCTGCTGATCTGTTTCATGTTGCTGCTGATCTGTTTCATGTCGCTGCTGATCTGTTTCATGTTGCTGCTGATCTGTTTCATGTCGCTGCTGATCTGTTTCATGTCGCTGCTGATCTGTTTCATGTTGATGTGTTCATTCCTGCAGGTCACTCACCCCCAAAGACGCTTCGTCTTCTACCCCCCCCTCACAGAAACCGGAGGTCCGGTTCCTCCGCTGGATCTGCAGAAGACCTGAGACCTTCACGCCGCCATGAGTCCGCTTCGTGTCCTCAAAGAGTCCTCGCGGACATCAGCGTCCCCTGCGGGTCACGAGCCCTGCGTGGATCGGTCCGTGGATGGAGCGGAGACCCATCCGTCAGAGGGGGGCATCCCGGGGGGTCCGGTCCGGGACCGAGGGGCTGGTTCGGTTGTAGAACCGGGCCGAGCTGTCCCGTCCCAGGCCCGGTTATTTACACATCTGCAGCGCGCGGCAGGTTAATGCACGAAAACACGCGCGCGCACGGGTACGCGTCTGATTACGTGATGTAATCCGCACATGAAAGTCCCGGTTCCGACAGGATTAAAACAGAATCTGAGTGGAGAGTTTCTGAGAGAAGAAAGTTGAAGGAAACAGCGCTGGTGCCGCCTTCAGGGGCTGTAGGACACTAGAGAACTCAAACATA